AATCTTACAAAAAGATGTTGGAACTTGAATGGAAAAAACAGGCCTACAATGAAAGAAGTTGCAACAGAGTTGGAAGTGATTATAATGCCACATGGAGCATCTACTATTCAACAAAACTATGAAGAGGTTGAATTTGCGGTAGCTGAACTCACTGGGCCTTGGGATGCTGCTTCCACTTTGACAGGATAATAGTGTATTATCATCGTCAAATGTCCAATATCTGTTATCCAAGTAAATATGAGGGTTAAGGTTTTATTTTTCCATATATTACATGTTCTTGTTTGAATAATAGTGTATAATCACTGAAAGATTCTCCTACTTCTAGTGTATAAGAAATCATCGTCAGTGAGAAAATCTTGTTGTCCTCTATCTTATTTTCCATCTTGTATAAGCTAATCATGATGAGAAACAGTCTTAATGCTTTTTTTTAGTAGTTGATTACAATACAACTCTTCTGTAGTTTTCTGGTGCTCCAGTTAAGTTATGCCCATTCTGAATTAGAATTGATGGATTCTCTTATTTAGGATCCCTATATAAACTAATATGGTCGACACAATACTGATGCACCAAATTCTTCTGGTTCAGTATTGACCACCCAAAGGAGATGGTCCAAAGGCACTCTCCAATTTTGCCATATGAAAAAAATAAAATATTATAATTATTAAGGACTCAACGGGATCTTCTCCCTCAAATCAGACAGACAAAGAAGGGAATCCCTTTGAGTTCTTACATTTTCATGTTTTTATGTTTATTTTCCTATCAACAAAAGAGGTGATAGATACATAAGAAACAGTTCAAAATCAAAATCTATTCCAAGAAAAACTTTTTTCAACAACATTTTGGTAGTGTATTAGTCTCCATCAACTCCATGGCGCTCAGAAGTCACATTGAATGCATTGATATCTAATAGGCTGGAAAACTCTCACATGGTTAGCTATACGAGATAGCCGAAAACCAAAACATCGAAGTATGCCAAGACAGGATAAAAATTGTTAAAAATGGAAGGATATTGGAGCACCATTTGAAATACTGCTGGACTCCAAATTTAGTGCAAGGATAGGATATTGCAGTTATGTTCCAATCATATGATTAATCATAATCTATTGAGAAGGAAAACAATTGAGTTGGACGAAACTCAAATGCCAGTTCAGACTTCAATGATGAGACTCTTCCATGGACATAGAAAAAAAAAAAAAAAAAAAAAAAAAGGGAAGTTCGAGTGCCAAAATAGGGTTGTATATGGGTTTGGGATGGAGTGCTACTAAATGGCTTCCAATTTTGTGCACATAAAGATATAGGGGCACTTGATCCAAATGTTTGTACTTCTTTTCTTGCCATTCCCATCTTGTCGCTGGCTCAAAACTTTGGACGGGCGAGCAATAGTTGTTAGTTATATTGGTAGTACGAAAAGTTCCATGACTTGTTTGCAATCACCCTCAATGACTTTCTTGCTCACTCATCGTTATTGCATGTACTAAAAAAGGAGTGTCCCTAAGGCTAGACTGACAATAAGCCTTAATCAATTCCATTATCATATGGGCTATTCAAGATGGAAGTCCTCGCCTATAATCCCTTTTTTTCAACTCAATTTACAAGATATTCATCACAAAAGGCATGGTAAACAAGAACCAAACTACATAAAATAACAAAATTTTAGCTCCATTATTCTGAATCTTGCTGAAGATTCACTCAGAATTAAACAAATCATCATCCTAAGAACTGAATCTTAAAATCTTATGCAGACCACCTAAAGGAAGTGATTGAAATTGAATGGCTATAAACTCTGAAATCATGAAAAGGGTATACAAGAAACTCATCAAATCATCCTCAGAATAGGGATTCAGTTTCAATTGGCATCCATACATGCATATTAATAAATATATAACCACACACACATTTCTTCAAAAAGAAAACTTTTTAACCTAAAGAGATGAAATATATAGCAAGAAAACGGTCGTAAACATAAAATTAATAGTTTCAAAAAGAAATTGATAAAATAAGCTGTTGATTCCTTACTGACCTCAAATTCAGAAGTGGAACTGAACTGAACAGCAAAAAGAAGATGAGAATGCAAATGACATGGAAATAACGGATGTCCCAATCTTCTAATTTTGGTTTAAATAAACTCTGAGATTTTATATCGTGTTAGCGACGTGGGAACTGATAATCTGAGGAATAATTCACTAATAAATTTATATTCAGCATATTAATCGAATATTCAATCCATTAAGAGCTTTTTTCTAAATAAAAAAATATATATTAATAATAATGTGAAAGTAAGATCCACGAACAATGATTAGAAAGAAAAATAAGGAAAAAATAATAATAAGAAGAAAAATAAAACATGAAAAAATAATTGGTAAATGTAGATCGTGTCAGTTAAATTGGTATTTTTTTTTAGTTTCCTTTCGCCAAATAATAATATTGGTATTTTTTTAACCCCTTTCACATTTTGTCGACTTGTCAATAAATAATCGCTAACAAAATTATGGAACAATTGACAAACTCTGACAGAAGAGTGTGGTCTAATTTCTAAAAAATATAAGAGAAATTTTTATAATTAATGCTTACAAGAGGGAGTTTAGTATAATTTTTCCAAAACTCAAAAACCTTTCCATTTAACTTCATAACTTGCACTGGTGTTCTTTGAGATTTACGATTCGTTAGCAAATTCTCCCCTTCATTGACTTTTAATGTTAGTCGACTTCAATTTTTACTAAATTAAAATTTTAAAATACCAATCTTTCTATTAAAATGTTTGTAACAGAAATGGAGGTTAATAAGGCCTACAATGAAAGAAGTTGCAACAGAGTTGGAAGCTATTAGAATGCCACATGAAGCATATGCTATTCAACAAAACTACGAAGAGGTTGAATTTGCGGTAGCTGACCGCATTGGGCCTTGGAATGCTGCTTCAACTTCGACAAGTTTTTATCAAGATAGTAGTGTATCATCATCGTCAGATGTCCAATATCTATTATCAAAGTAAATATGGTGGTTAAGGTTTTGTTTTTTTTCCATATATTACATGCCCATGTTTGAATAATAGTGTATAAGCACTGAAAGATGTTCCTACTTCAGGTGTTTAAGAAATCATGATCAGCAAGAAAATTTTACTATCCTCTATATTATTTTCCATCTTGTGTAAACTAATCATGATGAGAAATATGCTTAACATATGTTTTGTGAAGTATTTATGGATTTCATTTTGTATCTAAACTTGAATTCTATACAATGCTTTTTTTATTGGTTGAGTACGATACTTCTCTTCTATTGTTTTCTGGTGCTCCAGTTAAGTCATGCCCATTCTGAGTAAGAATGCATGCATCCTCTTATTTAGGATCCCTATATAGACCAATACGGTAGACACAATACGCATGCACCAAATTCTACTAGTTCAGAATCAACCACCCAAAGGAGATGTTCCAAAGACATTCTCCATTTGGCCATATCTAAGGCCATATCTAAGAAAAAAAATATACATATTATGATTATTAAGAACTCAACGGGATTTTCTCCCTCAAATCAGACAAACACAGATGGGAATCCCTTTGAATTCTTACGTTGTCATGTATCTATATTTATTTTCCTATCAGCAAGAGATAACAAATACAAAAGAAACAGCTCACAATCAAAATCTATTCCAAGAACAACTTCTTCCACAACATTTTGGTAGTGTATTAGTCCCCATCAACTCCGTGCTTCATCCAAATAAAGGCAAAATGGCACTCAGAAAGTGACATTGAACGCATTGATATATCTAAAAGGCTGGAACACCCTCGGATAAAAAAGGAGAGGGGGAAAAAAAGGAAAAAAATGGTAGGAAATTAGAGCACCATTTGAAATACTGCTGTACTCCGAATTTAGTGCAAGGATAGCAGATTGCAATTATGTTCCAATCATAAGATTAATCATAATCTATTGAGAACGGAAAAAAATGGAGTTAGAGGAACTCAAATGACAGTTCAGAATTCAATGATGAGGAGGGTAAGGAATTCAATGATGAGGAGGGTAAGAAACTGTTAAATAAGTCTTCCATGTTACTAAAAAAAAAAAAAAAGAAACTGTTAAAATATATGTACTAAATACTGAAACTTTGTAGACTTAAAATGAACAAAACTACTAAAATTTTAGGATATAATAATAATTTTTTTCCCTAGAGGATCTAATAATATTTGTTCATATTGGAATTTGGGAAATATTCTAAGTTTTTAATTATTTATTATTTTGTTTTAAAATTTAATTTAATGTTGATTATTATAATTCAGCTTCTAAACTTTAAAGAAATTGTGTCACAAATTTGGTAAACGACTAACAATTGTCACAAAATAATAAAGGAGTAAATTTTACTTATTTCCTCTAAAGTTTATTAATCTCACACAGGCCCTCTATATTTACCTCCTCTTTCAATGACCATATAGTTTGTTATTTTACTATTTTATCCATTAATTATATATTGTTTAAAGATATCATTTTAGACATTAGAAAGACACCATTGATCTTTTATCAATTTTTTCTGCAAAATTCGTCAATTGCCAAAAGCCAGGGAGAATTTATTACATAAATCAAAACCTCAAAGAAGGTATGTGGGAGAATTTGTTACATAAATCAAAATACCAAGGAAGGTATGTGGATTATTTTTGTGAGATATTGACAAACCTCATAGAAGGTAATTGAAATTTACTCCACTTGGTAAAATTTAAACTCTATTTCTTGATTTTGCTCATGCTCTTAAAATTGTTGGACCGTGACTTTAGAAAATAAGGGGTCTCCATTGTTCGACCATGGCTTAAGAAAATAAGACATTGGCTTGTCTCTCTCTCCATTGCACATATCATGAGTTACCTTACAAAACGTACTAAAAAAATAATAATAATAATAAAAAAAGTCAAAAAAACAAAATTTAAGAAAATATTAAATACCTCAAAAATGTGATATCTAGGGCAATAAATTATAGGAGGTGGTTGGCCCCATAATATAGTCCTATTTTCTCACTTTTCAAAACAAAAAATTTAGATGATTCACTCGTAAATAATAAAAAATAAAAATAAAAAAGTTCGCAAGAACAAGTAAAAAAATGGAGGGGAATTGGGCCCATCATGATCATACCACACCCCCAATTGATCTCATGCGTATGTATGTACGTTTTGGTTGACTGCAATTGAATTGAAGATGACAGAGAATTGAAGTGTGAGAAAAATGAAAATGGAGGAACACGAAGAGCCATCGTCTCCAGGAGTCAGTCCAGTACAAGTCAAAGAATGCATAGAGGAGGTGCTCAACTTCACACTCGCGTCCTCAATCGACGAAAACCTAGGAATCGATATAGGCCTTTCAAAGGAGTACTGTTCTAACCTCCTCAAGAACGACCCTGCACACCCCAATTGCAATCACACTGGTACTTATTTCATCATCAAAATCAAATCTTCACTATCTACATTTCCACAAAACTCATTACCCAACACACTCTTATTCCGTACTCAAGTCACCAGCTATAATGTGTATGTGTGTGTATAATTCAGTTATTAATTTTGTAGAACTTTTGTTGTTGCTGTTGTTATTTAGAATTGAATGATTGATCAATAGCTTAATTATTTTGTTAAGGTCGTGATTCGTGAAGCTTGTTACGATACGCAAACCACACATACATGTGTGAGTTTGTGTCTCTAGAGCGGTTAATATTTTGGCGCCATTTAGATTGAGTCCATGTATGTATGAATGCATGTACTGATGGGGTGGGTGGGGACATGGTTTGTAAGCTGTGAATTTCTGGGCTGTATGGAGGTCAATTCTGAATTTGAATTTGTTTGTATTGTTGAAATTTGATCTGAATTTGGACAATTAGATTTTTTTTTAAAAAAATTATAGTCAACCTAAATTTGGCCTAGCTTCTCTGGAGTTAACTCAATATTTTAATGAATCACTGAAAAAGTACTAAAACAGTCAATATAAAAAATTTGGCCAACTTTTTAATCCAAATTTCATGCCAATCCAATTTGTGATCCAAGCTGAGGTACAAATACATACATGTGTATATATAGATAGATAGATAGATATTATTAGGAAAATTATAAAACCATTGTGCTGGGTTGAATGACATTTGGTGTGTAGTTGATGTGGAATTTTGCTTTACTATGTTATAGAGCTTATCAATTTTAAACACTCAGAAAAGTGCATTGCATTTGTTTGCAAGTGTATATGAATATACAGTTCTTATGCTACTGGTGTGTGGAACTTGCTATGCACGTGGAAAGAGGCGAAGCATTATTGTTTATTGAATTGTAGTTATGTTGTGGAAACGACTTGTGCTGCACTGGAATGATGCTTAGTTATGACAATAAATACCACAAATCTGGTGGCCTATGCATATATGTTTAAGGAAAGACATTTTTCATTCACACTTGTTACATATTTTTCTGGAGGAATTCCTCAATATCCTCTTATGCAAGCCTCTAGCATCAGCTTTGTACCAGTCTATATCTTCTGGATCTTTCTGCAGGACATATAAAGAAATGGAATTGATCCATGAAGACAGTTCCATGAAGCAGAAAGAAGAAGAGTGGAATCAATTGGTTCTAGCAAAGGGGTCTGAATTAGTAAATGTAAGTTAAATGTGATGATGTCAATCATTTCCTGTTTTCTTTCTTATTATATTTATTTATGATACATTGGTCTCATTGTTGTTAACATATTGTATGCCCTTCTATTAGGTGTTGAAAGCTATAGACTTTGAACTTCATGTTCAGGAGCCTTTCTTTTCCTAGCTCAAAGGTATTGTGTGTTTGTATTAAGACGTACATGGCAGCCCATAACTGCATTATATATTTTGATGCTCAACTGTGGAAGTCCTAATTGCTTTTGAGCTTGATTTCTTGATAAATTGTTTCTATCTGGTGAATGATTATTTATTCATATTAATTTGGCATTGCTTGCAGATGGCCTAAAAACAACTGAAGGAAGATGTGCTGTTGGTGACTATAGTAAGTGTGGCTTATTTTAGTTCTGTATATAAATTATGTAATAATGCACTTTGCTGAATTTTTTTACATTCTTTTTTCATGTTTCTCTCTTCTTTTGTGTTACTTCTTATGCTTTGATTTATTTGCATAAAATGAAATACTATGTAGCTGTTACAGGTCCTACTTGAGTTGGTTTAGTTTGAAATTTAAATCAAGCTCAATGTAAACCAAGTATTTAGAGTATCAACTACAGCTCAAACAGAATAAACTTCTCTGAACCCCTAAATGGACATTCAAATAGGTAATCCTTCTGACAATTCTGTCATTATCATTGATCGATGTGACAAATTTGAACTTGGACCTGCCAACCTACCCAAGGTAGATGGGTTTAGAGTTTTCATCAAATAAGAGGTTTAGTTTGTGTAACACAGAATTCAACTTGATCACACTTATTTGTTGAATCTTCCATAATAAAAAAGTTTGGGGTTTGGTTGAGCCTGTTAACTTTAAGGGGGCTGTTTTAGTCCTGATTCTAAACCCCCACAACATTACTTGTTTGGAAAAATACATACCGTAAGTTACATATAAATCCATGGAGATGCCACTGCATAAGTTTTGTTGCAATGACATGCATAAAGGATGGAAATAGTTAAAAGAAAAAAAGAAAGAAATGATGGAGCAGAGGACTCCAGGCTATAAGACGGAAGAAGGGAGTAGTGAAGTCCAACCCATGTAACAGCTCTTACTTAATTTTTGTGAATTAATACACAACTGAAACACTATTAACCTTGTCAGGTTGAAGGTGTTAAACAATAACAATAATCTTCTCAAGGCTTACTAAGACAAGCTTACTTCAGTTTTCTTAAAGAGTTAAAAACTAACGTCCATACAGAAAGAAATAGACTGTAGGAATTTGTTAGTGTTTCTTGTGTTTTCCTTTTGGTTGAGAAGTGAAAAATATTTTCTGGGGAAGATATGATGGGGTCACAAGATAAAATTAAGTTGAGATTGGACAAGTGAGAATAGTTGCTTTGGATGTGTTTCCTGCCTATTTTTAAAATTATCCCGAAGGATTATGATTCTCTTCCTGCTTATTTAGTTTATCTAGTTCTCCTTTCAGGCTAAATCTGTTTCCACTGGTGTCAAACTAATAGCCTTTTATTTTTGAATTAGTGAATAATAATTAAGATTAATTACGTATTCTTTATTGGGCTTTCCTATTCATTTTTCTCACTTTAATTTTGCCTTAATTTGATTATCAGACTTGGATCAGGAGCACTGCTTCTCTTCAACAAGTGCTTTGTGCTTCAAGTTCAGTTGATCAGATTTTCTTGCGGTTCATCTTTACTTTCTTCATATGCACTTCTGCACACATAGCTTCAATAGTTTACAGGATGTCATCAGGTATGCTTCGTTTTCTGAGATGTTGGAAGCTGAGAGTCTAACAAAAGTCCTTCCTGGAGTAAAAACCACAGAAGAAGGTAACAGCCTCATATTTTTATTAGGAATTCAACTCAGGCTACTTTTTGATGTCGGTACTCGGTACTGATTGTAAATGATCCACAATAGGGCTGCAAATGAGCCTAGCTATTCATGAAAAGCCCGGGCTTGGCTTCGGCTTGTTTGATAAACAAGCCGAGCCTGAACAATCCATGGCTCGGCTCGTGAACATGTTCATGAACAAGTTCAATAAAGGTTCGTGAACATGAGTCGTTTATTAGAATTTGTTTGAATATATAGTTATTTCTTCTTTTGAAGAATCTTCAATCTCAAGTTCGAGTTTGAGCTTGAGCTTGACAATGAGCTCAAGATTAAGACAAAAATGAGAGCAAACGAGCTGACCCGAGCTCAACGAGTAATGTTCAAGCTCTAGCTCGAGCTCAAGCTCAAAACTCTTGTATGGGCTTGTCTTGAGCTCGAGCAGTCAAAAGCTTGGCTCGCCTCGGTTGCAGCCATAATCCACAGAGTGAGTGCTAGATGCCACCAATTAGCAGATAGTTGCTTCTTAACTGCCATCTCTATGCATATTAGTGGAACTTGCAATAAATGTAAGCATGAATTAGAGATGGTTGAGTGATATTATAAGAATTCTAGCAAAAGAACACTTATAAGTGTAACAATAAAACTCAATTGAAATTATTGAATACAACAAAGGCATAATACCTTCTACTTGGCAGCAACTTGAATCAACTCCTTACCTTTCAAAACAAAAAACAAAAAACTTGAATCAACTCTTACCCCTACGCACCCAAAAAATAAATAAAAATAAAAACAAAAACACTTTAATTAATTCTATTTTCCTCAACGATGCTTTCAATATCAAACTTTGTTATGAATATTATATAGGGGTGCACTAAAAACCGTTAGAACCGGACAACAGGTAAACTGGACGGTTTGGTTCAGTTTTGTGATGGAATGGTTCAGTTTTGGTTCTGAATATTCAAGAACCATTGATAATGGTTCGGTTCCAGTTTGGGGTCAAAAAGAACTGGATTGAAGTGTGAGTGATAGTTTTATATATTATATAAATAATACAAATGTTTGAGTTTAATTGGTAGAAAATATAACTTACCATACACCACAATTCATAGGATAATCATATATTTTAAAATTATGGTTTTTCATTTGATTAATTTGAATATATATATATATATATATATATAAGAAGGTCCAAAACTGTAGAACCGAACTGAACTAATCCAATTATTTACAGTTTGATTCCACTAGTTCTAACAGTTCTGTTCGGTTCTAATATTTTTGGAACCATTGGGACTGATTTGGTTCTTGTTCATCCCAAAACCGGACCAAACTGAACCGTGTGCACGTCTAACATTCAATGCTTATTTAAATGAGAGAGGAACCTTCTAGTGAAGATGTAAATGTCAAGGTGACAGTACTCAGCTTCAAAAAGCCTTGTCCTATTTATTTGGGATCCTTTCATGAATCTTCTTTTGCCATATTTATTGCTTTATTGATTTATCAATTGTGGATTGCATGTTTTTTTACGTTATTAATTTGATTTTGTCATTATATAAGCATGCATGATTTTTATATGTTATTAATTTATTTTTGTCATAATATTTGCTTAAATTAAAATTGGAAAAATAATTAAATTGTTCTACAAGATCTATTCACTCTCCTCTTAGACTAGGTCAGGTCCGGTCCTTAGTGGTGCATATCAATTGAACTATCAGACTCTACTGAACCTTTCTTCTCCTGTCTCATGGCATTACCCTACCACACCACTTTTTCATACTTGTGCAATTATTGGTTTTTGTGGCACATGATCAAACATTCTTAGTTGATTTTTTCTTCTTTTATCTCCAATGGGTCAACTTCCATTATTTCACGAATGTGATCATTTCTAATTTTATCTGTTCTCATCTTTACAACACATTAATCTCAACATCTGCATGATCACATTTTATTAACATATTGTTTCTTAACCATCCAATATTATTCGACACAAAGCATAGTTGGCCACTGTCTTATAATCCTAACCTTTTAATTTTAGATGTGTATGTTGATAACGTATTATGCTAGAAACACTCATTTATTGCAACCTGCATTAATTAATTTAATAACATCATCTTATATATTTCGGGTCAAGTGCAAAAAACACCCCTGTACTTTCAAAAATTTGCAAATAACACCCCTGTTGTCCAAGCGCTACCCCTCTAGTTTCAAAAGTTGCAAATAAGGGCTTTTTGTCAGAGGGGTAGGTAAAAATACGAAAATACCCCCCAATATTCTTTATTCAATAATAATAAAAAAAAAAAATTGAAGAAGTTGAAATTACCCTAATAGACATTGACCTAAACTATGTCGTTTTGGGTAATGAAACACAATGCACGAGCTTCGAGCATTACAGAGCCTACACGCCACTGTTTTGCTCTGTTCTGCCTCATTGTTTACTACTCTGTAATTAGATGAATCACAGAACGACTCCGCATCTAGGGAGGAGAGAGAGACTTGCTCTCTAGTTTGTTGGAGAGTTGTATTGAGATTCGTGACCGTCGCTTCGTTCTCTTTCGCGATTCTTTGCCACACTTCCATCTCCAGCTCCTGCCTTCTCAAGCACTCCTTGAGCTCCATTGTCCTCTTCTTCGCAGTCACCAAGTCTTCCTCTTTCTCCCACATCAAACCCAACGTTTTCGCTTCGTATAGCTTCAGCAAAACCCAATTTGTTGCCTTGTTTCTTCCTGAAGAGTAGTCCTCATTCTCTCACTCTGTTTCACTGTATTCATCACAAATCAAGAAAAACCCAGAAATGAAAACATTATATAAATCCAAAATCAAACATGCGTGTGGAAATATGAATCTATATTATGAAAACCAATTTGGGATTTTGTTCGAATCTGACCTGTAGACGAAGAATCCAGTCGATTTCTTGTCTCTGCTTCTCGAGCTCGGCTGCCAAAGACTGAAAACTCCATTGTTGGATAGTTATGATCAACACTCGATGAACAAGAAGCCCCTTGATTATTATGGTTACTATTGAAACCAATAGATTGAAACGCTTGCTGTTGTGGGTGTTCTTAAAAATTGAAACTAGCTCCATCTTCAATCCCTAAAACAGAGCTCGTAAGCCAACCCAGCTTTTCAGAATACAACTGTGCCTGAACAGCCATCTCTAACTGCTACAAAACCCAATAAATCAAAAAAATAACAGAGAGAGAGAGAGAGAGAGATAGCAAAAAGCAAGCTTCTCTCCTAAATGGATGAGAAATGGGATAGGTGTAAAAGTAGAAGGCTCTTATCAGAAGAGACGCATGATCTCTCTCTCTAAAACTTCCTCTCTTTCTCTCTCTAAACTCCTCTCTTTAATGGCATAACCTTTGCCTTCTTTGTTGCTTTGGTTTGTGGTCTAACTGAAAGAGAGTAATGTCAAAGGAACAGCCCGTGGGTGGTGTGGATATATACGGTGAAAACTGACAAGGTTGTTTTTATTTAATTTATTAAACGTACATAATAATTATAATTTATTTATAAAAATAGTTAAGTAATGCTATTTTATAAAGTTTGATTATTATTATTTTAGAGAGAGACTTGTGTTTCTCTCTCTAGAACTTCTGACTCTTTCACGCCCCAAAATTGAATGAACCAATTTCTCCTCCAACATCTCCATGTGAAATCTCTGATCCAAGAGTTCTATCACAAAATCTGCATGCGTACAACGTCGCACACTGCCTCCCCTTTTTTCTCTCCATCTCAGAGGAGCTTTTCAAACTTTGTGCTTTGACACAATAAGAAGAGATAGAATCAAAATAAAATTTAGAAAATAAAAAGAGCTGTTAGATAGGAGATTAATTATTTAGAGAGGGAACCATTAGAGAGGAGAGAATAACAAAATTCAAAAATTATGTTCATTATCTACAAAAAACCCCTTGTACTTTCAAATGTGTGCAAATATCCCCTTTGGGCATTTTGGGTACTGCAAAAGGGTATTTTTGGTATTAAAGGCCAACTTTTGCTCACATGCACGGCACATGTCAAATTTGTTGGTCAGAAGCCCTTATTTGCAACTTTTTGAAACTAGAGGGGTGAAGTTTGAACAATAGGGGTGTTATTTCCCTCTCTATGCACAGTTGAGTCTAATGAATGAAACTATTTTGATATCTCTTTACCATTGATATTCACTATGTTACTACTTTTATTGTATTCTTTTGCTAAAGTTACACTCGAAAGTGACAAGATAAAAAAATATTGGAAAAATTTCAAGCTTATCCCAACATTGGTTTATCTTATGTTTAATTTTCTCATATGGGTAATTCTTGCACTCATTATGTGTACATGATTTTGGGCTCAACCGCCATATTAATTTTCCATTGAACTATCAGCGACTTTTAAGATAACTACTTCTAAAAAGAAATAAATTTCTGCTGAACTTTGCTTACAAAAGAGGCAATGGATAAATTGCATCACTAATTACCTCTGCAGGCCGCAATAGACATTATGAAGAGATGGAAGACTATTAATTTTGTATTGAACACTGGTGAATATTATTCAGTTCCTCCCTCATGCCTTCGGAAGTGCTGTTCCATACATCTTATTAGTTCATGGTATGTTCTTCTATGTGGAAAGCATTTAGGGAATGTGTTGAAAGCATTTAAGCATTTAGGGAATATAATAATGGATTTATAAGTTTTTGTAGTTCTTCTTGCATTTATTCCTCAATCCTCATACTAGGGTTGGTGTAGAAGAGGAAGCAGTTGCAATATTCTTCAAGTTCTTCTTAGCACCCAAGAAGGCCTAAATAGACTGATTGCTAACCATCAGTCATACACATTCCACTTAGCAAACCTTTTTGACAAGATAAATAAATGTTCTTTTACTTGACCATAACCACCAAAGACAATTCTCTCTCAAAAATGTGCTTCTCACTTTAAAAGCAAGAGCTTTATAAGACTTAGCTATAATAAGATCTAAACCAGAATACAATCCTCTCCTTAATTATCATTGAAATGGCTCTGATAGTCCCACAAACACCTATGCTTAAAACATTAATTATCTAAAGACAACTATCACTTTATTGAATAAAACTCCCAAAACCATAAAATATATGCAAAAATACCTAAATTTCAAATGGACATTTCTTCTATCCGGAACATCACAAATGATTTTTTCTTTTTTTCCTTAAAAGAATGTACAGGATTGTGGACCTACGGCTCTATTTTACAAAAACAAATCAGAAGTTACAGATACAGGCCCTCAGGGATATTTGCACTTCTGAAATAACACCATAAAGTGGCCATCACCTGAATCTGGAGAGGGAGAAGATTTAAAATTCTGCATTCAAACCTATAATTAGGTGTTTTGTGACTTTATTTTATTTTTGTTTCATTTTTTATGCATAACATTTTGATGACTGTTTGTATAGCCTGATATTAGCCAATATTGTGATAAACCCTGCAGTTACTGGTTTGCTACCTGATAGGCCTTTCTCTGGTTGAAAATTTTCAAATATAATAAGCAGTTATACAATGTGGAATCTGAAAGGATGGTAAACTGTTAAAATGCAGAAACTTTCAGGGAAGCTTATCAAAAAGCAAAAGGCAAAGAGATAGAAGATGATTCAATTTTTTTTATCTAAACCTGATGTTAAGAAGAGTGAGAGGAAGAAGTGATAGGATAGAGGACTCTTTTATAGGTTAAACACTAAATGAGTTGTAATGAGCTCTAGTATTTAAGCAAATGAATTTGTGAGTATATGTCCCGAGTGCCCCTAGGTTTGATTCACACTCCATGTTCTGAGAAATATTTACCATCCAGAAAGAGGAAAAAACGGAGTCTTTGGCTAAAGAAATGCGTTGAGAAAGGACAGATGTATAGAACCTTTCAACGAGATGGTGCTTTTTCAATCGATCTAGATATAATAGATCCGATTTTTTTTATCTTTTTTCGATGGAGGGTAAGGGTCAATTCTATATTGTAAAGCCCATTTATAATGTCATGTTTTATTTTATTCTTTCTGTTGTTATCACTTGCATTTTAAGTGAAGTTTAGCGAACATGCTTATTTTTTAACATGCTTGGTCAGAAATCATATCCTCTTCTTGTTGCTGTATCGTGCTAAGTTAATCCTGCAATCACTTAACTTAACTGAAAGAATTACTGATGACCAGCAGAATCCTGACTTTGAAGTGATTTATAAAACTTGTAGTCCACAAATAATAGACATCTAACCTTTTTAGGTGTGCGGATTTACCAGAAGTTTTACACAGAAGAGAAGGAAAGGTCAAATGGAGTCCTTGCAATTCATGTTACGAAGCCGGCTGCTCAGCTTTACATTTCTTTGGCTAGCATACTTTTGGTAAGTGTATTTGCAGTTAAGTAACAAAGATGTCTGGACACGGAACATAATACTACACAAATATGCAGAAACAACAGATGCTAGAAAAGTAGGATATTGTCAGGCAAGAACACAAGAATATAAATACAATTTTTTGTTTATATACATTTATTATATAAGTGACTATAGAATCTTGATTAATTTTCTATTTTTATTATGAGAATTGTATAATGTGAAAGATTGAAGTTAAAGAATTATCAGATTATTATATTCTATGTAAGTTGCTGCTCCACTGTTATATTTTATATACCATATGTATGCACATAATATGGTTAGGTAAGAATCTGCTTTGATTTTTTGCATGTGCATAAACTATTTTATTACCAAACATCTATATTATTTAGAGTAGAGATGTACCTTATAGTACAAGGATCCTTTCGTGGTATGCTAAACTATTTTCATGTCTATCCAGGGATTGAGTTATGAGGGTGTTCAGAGGCTTTTGGGTCTCACTGGTACAGCAGGAACAATTCCAGAGGCGCTTCCTCCACCAAGATCAACTCTGCTTTTGTCATTTTTGTTGCCGCATAATCCAGAGGTATAATGGTGACTTGTAATAATTATCTTATTAGTTATTATCTTTTCATTTTGTTTGTAAATAAAATTTTCCTTTTAATTTTTTTTAGTTCTTGATATTGCAATTTTTCATGTTATTACGAGGGAAAAGGAAAAAAAAACAAAGGAAGAAAATGTTATTATAAGGAAAAAGGAAAACAGAGAGAGAATTGGGGTTGATGATGTTTGGCTTGTATTTAAAAGGATTTATTTGGCTAGGAGGTTGAGTAAGCTATTCTGCATTGTCTGCACCTTAGACAAAGCACATACACTGAGGAGGTAGGTCGAACAATTTGATGGGTCTCATGTAGAAGAAATAAAAATCTGGCTTCCAGTGTGTCCTCTGGAATGTAGAGTCGGTAATATATTGCAGAAATCTATATGGCGTGGATGGTACATTTCAGCCAATTGCACTGATGAGTGACATCATTAATGATACCTACCATATTGGACCTGAAAAACCCTGATCTGTACATTTACAGACTTGTGACTTGATTTCCATTTACCCAAATGGTGGTGCACTTGTGATCTATTTTTGTATTTTATGAATTCACATTGGGATGTTCTGTTTATCAGAGTGATTGGAAAAACATTTTCTTCTTGAAAGTTAAATTTTTTATTTTTTATATATACAAAGTTTATATGTTTATTTTGTTGAAGTCTTTAGGAGAATGATAATCTCCTGCCGTGATTTCTATTACTTAGCTATTCTCATTTTCTTGTCTACAGGTTAAAGGTTGCATCTTGAGTGATGGAGCTAGGGCCTTAGCTAAGCACATCAACAGGAGCAGTGTTGGTTACTGGGGTAGTTTAAGTGGAAGTGGTTGGTTCCTTTTGTTTTGATGTGGCTCTTCAATAAAGATACATTGTTTTTATTGCATGTAAACATAATGCTGATCGTTCCCATGCCTCATAACATGCTCTGAAGAATATAAGTTTCTTTCCTAAAGGGAAAAAGATGTGATGCCTTTGCTCATTCTTCTGGGCTGCTGACATACTCTTTATGAGCACCAATTATTAATATAGGCAACTTGATCTCTAGTTTAAGAATTTCACAATGAATTACTGTTTTGTTTGGAAAAAGAAATGTTGACGGGAACATATATACTCTCATGAGACGAACTATGTTGGATGCATATAGGAATGACTGTGAGTATTTTTCCCTCTAAACTTGATTGTATAAGCCTAAAACACTCTAAGAAAGTCATCGTATCATTACGTGGAACAGCTAAGGGAGGATAATTAATTGAATGGTTGCTATCAAATTCCACAAATTTGGGAGCACAACTTTTTAAAGACAATGGCAAATTTAACTCAATAATAGAATCCTCCATTTTGGTTAGAAATTTGTTGCTGATAATATGTCATCACCTTGATTTTAGTGCTTGGGGTTGATATGATGGTGGATTCACCTTTTAAATGCCGAGGTAGTGTGTTTTTAGGATAATGATTAATGACCATTATACATTTTGTAAAAAAATACAAAATCTCAGTTAGACTCTTAACACTAGTAAGAATCTTGGTTGATCTTTTGTTGCTTTTTCTTTTTCCTCCACTAGATTCCAATAAAAACAGGCTTGCTGTTGATGTCATTAGTCGCTTAATAGATCATTGTTGCTGGCAAAATATGCATATTGTTCCACCACATGGGGTGGTCTTTGAGATAAGGATTGCTGATGGGGATGGTGCTCGATGGTCCGAAGACGGAACAAAGGTATTAATATTCTTGTTGTATACTTTTATATTATAACTAAAACGACGGATGAAAATTTATGTGAAACTTCTATAGGATTGCGGCTAGAGAAAGATAGAATTTTGCATAGGGATGATTACATATAAATGGGGTTAGGGCACCATATTTACTTAGAGGCGGAGTCAAAGTCCCATATTTCTCTAAAATGAGTTTCACCCAAAAGCTGAGGTGGCACATGGAAAAATACTGTTTCATATTTCTCTTGCCTAAAATACCCTTCTTCCTATTTTATGTGTTACCTAAAATGCCCTTTTCTACACTTATCTATTTTCAAGCCCTAATCCTCTTTTCACATTCCATTCGTGCCGGACTCGTGAAGCTCAAGTGTTCTCTATCTCTGCCCTAACCCTCACTGTATGAAGCTCAAGTGCTCTCTCTCTCTCTCCCCCTCTCTGTAACAGCTCAAGGCAGGCCACACATCTCAGCACACAACATCAGCGAACATATGGAGGTCTTCTCCACTTTGTCTCTCTCCGATGACCGATTCTATTTGGTGTGAAATGAAGCCAGACCTAGGTTATATCTCTCTCTCCTTCACAATTTAATTCAAGGACAAATCTAGGGTTTGAGGTAATTTCTCTCTCTCTCTCTCTCTCACACACACACCCGTTTTGGGTGGATCTCCCCCGATAATTTGTGCAATTGAATCTGGTCACTATTAATGTTTTATGATTACTATTTAAGTTCGTATTTAACATTATTGAGTTATGTTTTGGTTCTTTTGTGGTTGTCTTTTTTATTTATTTTTATTGTTAATCTCAATTAAAATTTGAAATATTGATGCAAGATTAAATTTATACGGTAATCTCAAAATTTTTTTTTTTTTTTTTTTTTCATGATATTTGGTTAGAAAAATAACTATTCTATGTTTTGTGCTATTTTGTAAGTTAATTATTTTATTTTTTTGGGATCAATTTTGTTACTAGTTTAACATATTTATTTTTGTAGACCAGATATATATAGTTGACATGAACACAAGGTGCTAAACACACAGCACCATACACATAAAAGGTGAATCTTGTTATATCTGAATATCCTATCCTTGTTGTAGAGACTTAAGTAGTGAAGAAAGTACAAAATAATAATATAAAAAAAGTGTCACTCACTTCTTATTTTGCATTATATAGTATGGGTGAAATCCAGTATAGATTCAACAAGTGTTTGACACAGTAATTCTCAGTTAGCGAGAGAGAGAGAGAGAGAGAGGAGAGAACCAACTAAAAGTGGGAGGAGAAAAAAATTGATTTCAGATTGTGGGCTACTTTTGGTACTCTGTCCTGCATTTTGAAAATTTCCACTCAAAGGGTATTAACTAAATTTGGTGGCTCTCTATTACAACCCTCCTGGCTTTTAGCTCATCAGCCAAACTGACATGTACTGTGTGCAATGTTTCATGCTCCCAGAGAAACCCTCTTTAAAAAAGACCTTTAGAGAGAAAGAAACAGCAGCAGATCAGGAGCACGGTAGAGAGAGAAACAGGACAGTATTCTAGAGAGAGAGGAAAGGAAATCGGCATTTGAAGGAAGTGAAAAAAGGAAGAGTAATTAACTTCCAAAAAATAAATAAAAGGTAGAGTAATGACAAAGGTACTACATTTATACCCACGCCTACATCAAAACGAGAGCGCTTGATAATTAACCACCGCCTCTGCTACTGTAAAATATAAAGTACTTACTAGTATATACTTGTGTGTATATGTATAATTATATATATCTACACGAATATATACTCTACACAAGCTTTTTTTACTTTTTGATTGTGTTTAGTTTATGTTTATTTACTTCTTACTTTTACCTTTGTTTGTTAACTAATATTTCAATCTAGGTGGTACTTTACTAATAATTTAACACCTTGAGCTAGCAACTGACATTGCCAACTCTCATTAGATATATTATAGTATTAACTATCATATTGTTTATTAAATTATCAAACATTGGGAGGAGAGCTTCGAACTATGATTAGAGTTGTTGGTCAAGTGATTCTTCACAGCTTATTTCACTTTTTATTTTAGGTGGTGTTTTTCAGTCATGAATGTAGGACACAATAAAAATCTTTTTTTTTCAATTATACAAGGGTATACTGTACCCGGACTCACAATTATAGAAATTTTGTGCACTTCTTTCTTTAGAAAATAGTGCAAGGAAAGCAAAAAAGAGCAAGCCAGATCAAACCCAGAAGTATAAAGCAATAATGAATCTGGATGCCATTACAGTTCTTAAATCCACATAGTGATAAGATGATGGCCTGCATAATGTCTGGAAGTGACTAATGCGATATAAATTTTTTTTTATAACCCATCGTAAGGCATGTTAGCAAAAAATTGGATAACATATATGTAATATACATAGATATGAGTTACTAGTGCATTTTCAGTTTTCAGTTTAATTTCTGAGGCCTACCCAATTGCAAAAAAGAAGACTTTTTACAATTACTACAGGATCTTTCAAAGTTAATTACCAATTGCAGACTCCTTTTCATGATTGCGCAAAAGCCCATCCGCTTCCTCAACTATCTGTGCTGTAACAGGGGGTCCTCCAAAACTCATGTGGTTGTATTCTGTCAGTGATGCCTTATTGAATTCGTAGCCAGGTTCTAAATGCATATATGAAAGAAAGTCAATCAAATTACCATCCCTCTTCTATTATATAAATATAGAAACACATAGATACATACAAGCATGAATTCATACCTAAATAGATATACTGTTTGATAACCCAATTTAGTTCTTAATTTTTATCCAATTATGTGCATTCAACCACACATTTTGAATATCACTTAAAATAAATTAGAGCCATTTAAAATGAGGTAAAATTTTAAGTGGCAGTGACTTCACTTAACTCCTAAAACTTCAGTACTTAAACTTATAAAAATAAATAATAAATAAATTAAGTACTTATTCAGTTTTATCAAAAGGGATGCAGAAAAACCCAAAAAGATAAACATAAGGTCATAAAACAAGACATAGCATTGGTAATATTAATATGTCACCTCTTTGCATTATTTGGAATCAAACTAGAAATAGAAGTTAGAACTAAATTGAAGAGTAACACTGCTTTTTGTATAAATATCAACATTAAGATGCATCATGCTTATTTTTTTATCTAATATATTCTACACCCATGCGTATATATAAATATATTGTAGAACGTACATATTAAATTGATGACTTAATATGAATGTCACAATTAAACAAGAAAACAATTAAACATATTCCCAAAGTTTCTCATTTTCTTTGTTCGATTTTCTAATAATAGTTAATAAGTCGATGTATATGTCTTAAGACCACTGTTCGTGTTCATTCTAGCTTCTCGTGTTTATAGGTTATCTTGTTCTAGGATTTGTACCTGTAATTCTTGTTTTGCAAACTAAATCCTATTTGGTGAAAATTTTTATGAACTTTTTTATATAATTAATTTTTAATTTATTTTATGAATTTTAGTTATAAATATTTGTAAGATAATGACTGAAACAGATCTCCCTTTGCAGGATTTGAGAGACTAATTGGTAAATTTGGGTTGAACTTGAGTCTTGAACAAGCTAAAGGCCCTTATTGTGGATTATAATTTTTACAATTATAGCATCCTACGGACCTTCTATAATTTTAGAGTGCTTTCATCACTTCATACTGGTAACTCATATCTTCACACGCACTCACACACACACACGCACACACACACATACCCACCCGCATGCACGCACGCGCGCGCACACATTATTTTTCCATTAGTGGACAAATTAAAGTTTTTAATCTTTATGTTGTGTTTGAAGTTTTTGGCATCCTTTTTTTTGTCCACCTCTTGTTGACACACACATACACACACACACACAAATTTTTTGCTAAAGTGTATGTGGTCTTAAACTAAGGAGATGGCATTTGTGTAAATGACTTGAGTAGTTATATGGAACTCACTTTTTTAGTTGGTAAAATTGACAAAAACATTATTCAGAATTATAAAAATAAATTTCCTATACTTTTTTGACATCCATAACAAAGAATATCTCTCGGTTGATTTATTTAAGTGTTTATTATGATTTATTTTTTACAATTGAAGTAATAAATCATACTTTTACTGCTCATACATGTTCATTAGGGATGGAGCAAAACTTGTTCGTGATGCTTTTCAGCTTGCGAAGAAGAAATCTCCTTGCATTATTTTTATAGATGAAATTGATGCTATACGCACAAAGCGGTTTGACAGGTATGTCATATCTCTATTTTATGTGTAATTTTCTAATCTGCCTTGACAATTTTCTGAATCTTGGTGTAATGGATTCTGGATTGAATACTTAAGAAGTTATGTCATAATGTGACTAATTGATTGTAAATTGTTTCTTTCAATGCAGTG